CTGTGCGTTTCCCAGCCACTGTTCTGGACCCGGGGACTGTGAAGAGACCTCTGGTTGCATGTCTTGTGTTGTACCGATGAGTGTCTGAACTGTGTGCCAACTGCTTAAACAGACAGTTCGGTACCTTCAATGAATCAATACCTCGCACAAAGACCAATAGTGATGCAGTCAATCTCTCCTCAACTTTGAGCCAGGAGAGACTGACATGCATGTTACTGACACTTTCCCTCCGTGTACATCTAAGTGCGATATGTGCTGCTTTGTTCTGGACCAACTGCAATTTACCTACGTATGTCCTTCTTTGCCGCACATGACCACACAGCTGGGCAGTAGTCCAGGTGCAACAAAACTAGGGCCTGTAGGACCTGTCTGGTCGACTGAGATGTCAAGAAGGCAGAGCAACACCCTATCATTGACAGACCTCTTCTCATTTTAGCAACCATTGAGTATATGTTTTGACCATGACAACTTGCTATCTAGTTTTACAGACAGCAGTTTAGTCTCCACAACTTGCTCAATAGCCACATTATTCAATAATAGATCTAAACGAGGTTTAGCATTGAGTGAGTGATTTGTGTCCAAAATTATGCTTTTAGTTTTTGAGATATTTAGCATCAGCCTATTGCTAGTTACCCATTATAAAACAGACTGGAGCTCTATATTAAGTGTCTCATTTATTTATTTTACTGTTGCAGCCAACATGTATACTGTTGAGTCGTCAGCGTATGTAGACACACAGGCTTTATTCAAGGTCAGTGGAAGGTCATTTGTGAAAACAGAAAACAATAATGGCCCTAGCTGGCTGCCCTGCGGTACACCACAATCAACTGAATTTGCATGAGTGAGGCTTCAGACTTATTTGCTATTCCCTTTGCCTCATCCCTCTCAGCCAAACAGTTCTTAAATTCATCATCTATCCATGGGGATTTGGCAGTTCAAACAGTCAGTTTCTTGATGGGCGCATGCCTGTCAGTAACCGGAAGAAGCAGTTTCATAAATGCGTCTGGATGTTCCTCATTAAACACATCAGACAAACAAATATTTTTCACACCTTCGACGTAGGAATCATTGCAAAACCTCTTGTATGATCGTTTATACACAATTTTAGGTCCAGTCTTTGGAACTTTGGTTTTTCTGGATATGGTTATTATATTATGATCACTACATCCGATGGGTGTGGATACTGTTTTAGAGCAGATTTCTGCAACATTAGTAGAGATGTGATCAATACACGTGGATGATTTAGTTCCTGTTCTGTTTGTAAATACCCTGGTAGGTTGACTGATGACTTGAACCAGATTGCAGGCACTGGTTACAGCTTGGAGCTTCTTTTTGAGTGGGCAGGTTGATGACAACCAGTCAATATTTAGGTCACCCAGAAAATATACCTCTCAGTTGATATCACATACATTATCCAACATTTCACACATATTGTGCAAATACTGACTTTTAGCACTTGGTGTCAATAGCAACTTCCTATGAGAATAGGCTTTAGGTGAGGCAGATGAACCTGTAGCCATATTACTTCCATATAATCTGACATGAATATGACTATGGACATACATGGCAACACTTCTTCCATTTGCATTTCTATCTTTCCTATATATTCTATTACCATGTATAGCTACTACTGCATCATCAAAGGAATTATCTAAGTGTGTTTCAGAGATGGCCAGAATATGAATGTTCTGTGCAAATAGTGGAATTCAATTATATGTGCATATGATTATTGCAGATAATAACCTCGGAGCTAACAGTTAAAGGAACATAGATTAGGTTACTTACATTTGCTGCACTTCTATGTCTCTGGGATATGATACGATTTCCATGTCCTCTGTTGCTTATTATGACAGGGAGGACTAGAGCGCTACCAAACCCAGACCGTCAGTCTCTAAAGCAATTAGCTATGTTGATGAAGATAATCCTGGAAACCCTGCAGTTAGGGTGAATCCCATCTCTTTTAAAGAGTGTTGGTTGCTCCCACAGCAAGTCAGAATTGTCACAAAAGGAGACATTCCTGTCTTTGCAGAGTTTCTTCAGGAACTCGCTTAGGGCAGCAAGGCCACTGTAACATTCCGAAACCCTTCTATACGGTAGGGGGCCAGAGATGACTGCTCTCTTCCTTGTGCAAACAAGTGTGTTCAAGAGAATGTTGTAGTCCTTCTCCAGTTCCTCAGATTGCCGAAAGTGAATGTCGTTAAAGACAACGTGAGTGACAATTTTGCCAATATTAGAGTAGTTGGCTAGAACTGTGGGCAGGAGGGAGCTGATGTCTTGGAAATGGGCGCCTAGGTGACAGTGGACCTTGGTCGGCCCACAGGCCGCAAGCAGGCCAAAATCTCTCACCATCGAGCTGCCCAAGGCGATGGTGGTCGTGATGCAATCCGATGAAGAAGGGGAACAGAACGGCTTGCCTCGGGCAGGGGGGGGGGGGGGGGTGTGCTTTGACTCATGTCAGTCTGACTCACTCTTTAAAATCCCAACCACAACTTCCAAATATTGGGGTCCTAGTCCCCTTGTTTAAGAATCACTGCTACACAATGTCGTATCATGACAATTATGACGGTGGTTAGGGGCAACATTTACCTACTCTTCAGTGTGTCCGAACCCCACCCCCTGTGAGTGAACTGTACCTTACAGGCCACCGTACTCGAAGCTGGTCCACTAGAAAATGTTGTAGAAGCCTCCTCCTTCCTCCTGCTCCTCAGAGTCACAGCGGAACAGCAGCATGTTCATGTCGGCCAGGGTCAGCTTAGACATGATCCTGCATGGGGATAGAGGATGGGGTCACATAACATTACAACACACACACTCACCTTACTGGGCACAACTGGAGACTACAGATCCCCATTGATCAGTATGTTGATCAACACATACAGTAGGTTACTGTACAAACACTATTCATCATGGGGATGAGGAGAAGGAGGAGGAGGAGGAGGAGGAAGAGGAAGAAGAAGAGGAGGAAGAAGAGGAAGAATAGGAAGAAGAAGAGATGGACTACAATGGATACAAATTATATTGAAGATATCACTATCTAAAAATGCAAATCTTACAATAGTGTTAAATGAATATTTCTAATCTAAAAAGCTAATGAAGTGCCTTGTCATGCCTGTTCATGGAGTAGCCTACCATTAACACCCATTTGGCTCCCATTTAACAGAGGGAGATGAAAAGGCATGCGTCTGCCTGCCTGCCAGGCTGCCTCCTGCGGTGGTTATTCTGAGATGTGAGTGTGTGGGTGTTAAGGACCTTACATGTTTTACAGCACACCATTGGCAATGTTCCAATACCATTGAATAACACTATTTACTATCTAATCACTGACAGTTGAAAAGACTGGAATTAATCTTTATAATATAACTTTCAGTTAGGGCCCCTGGATTTTTCCTGACCATGTGACTTGACCAGGAAAAACTCAGGGTGCTCGGCAGTATTGTGGTTTATCATAAGGACCAAGAGTTCTCAGGGCAATATTTATCAGGTTGTTTCAAATAACTGGTAATCAGGGGAAGGTACTAAAGTAGTGAGGAAAGGAGGCTGTTCAATAACAATTGGGATGAAACCTTCCCTTCTATTGTAATATTCAAGCTCTAGCACTAGATGGCGGCAGTTACCAGCTCTGAATTGTGGACACCTGAGGTGAAACACATCTCATCAAAAAAAATATGTAAAGACTATGGCCTTGGTTAATCCGTCACAAGTGTTTTGAATCTGATATTTAAAGCCATTGAAGAAAGAGTTCAAATTTGGTTGCTTGTGGGGTTGTTGCCATTTTCGTTTGCATAAATCTGTTGTAATAACATTAGAATGTCCAGTGTTTACATCTTCCTGAATAAAGCTGAAATGACACTTACAGCAATACCATGATACAACTGTCACCACAACCACCACATAAGAACAAATTGAAACAAATAATGAAATGGTAAGAAAAGGATCAGAATTTACTGACCATATGAAGCAGTTAACACAGCTGGAGCTGAGGGTTTGAATCCCATGCGTGGTGGCACAATTCAGCTAACTGCCCCAGTATTCACTAGATTGGCATAAGAAATGGAAGATGTCAGGAATCTCTCACCTATAGATCTTGTGTGGAATAACAAACAAGTGAAAACCAGCTAAAGTGACTGGATTAGAAAGCATTCTGCATAAAATGAAACACAGAAGGGAAGTTGATGATGTGTTTGTGTTGTACAGCAATGAAGTTAGAGGTGGGTATTTGTATGTGTCCGTTAGTCTGTCCGTCTATCTGTCTGTCTACTGCATCTCTCTCTGTTCAAGACCCTTGGGCTACTATAGCAAAATATGCATAAAAGGCTTAGGTTATCTATCTATTACCAGTAGGCTAGATATGCATTTCTGCCTCAATTCCCCTCTTCAATTATGACATGTATTTTGTGTTGAAAAATGTATGCACTCACTAACTGTAAGTCGCTCTGGATAAGAGCGTCTGCTAAATGTGTTCAATGACAGATGTTGACATGAAAATCAACAATGAGTGCAGAACTAGAGGGTCTACAATCGTTATATGTGTAGCACATACAAACACTTGCCATGCACTGTGTATTCATTCGGGTGTGCGCGTACTCCCATGCGTGCCACCCGTGTGAAAAATAGGTTTTAAGCACACTTGTTCTGACGTCACTTGCATCGATATTTTTGCATTTTCCTTCTGGTTGTACATCGTTGTTGTCACCTGAAAAATACTCAATACTGTCAAGGAATACAATGCAATATTTGGATCAAGTCTTTCCCGCTAGATACCTAAATACGCACAACATTTTTTATTTTACCATTCGGTTTTGCGGTTGGCTTCTATAGTGATTTGGTGCGCGAGTGACTGGCTGCAGTAGAGCCGTTCATTCAACACAAGCGCGACACTTGGCGATGAAGCTGAAATCACCAGCTACAGAAGCGTAATCTCTTACATTGCCAAAATTACGGGCGGAATTAAATACAACTCTCTGTCTCCGGCCTCTCAAAGGAGAGACAGGAGGTTCATCATGTCTGCTAAAGAGAGATTAAAAGGGAAGGTGACCAAAGACAGCGTTACCTTGCTGCCTTGTTTCTATTTCGTTGAGGTAGGTGAGTTTTACCATTCCGCGACAGCTCCAATGCGCTTGAACCGCTGGCGCTGGAGTAGCCTAGAGAAACAATGTGTTTTGAATGAATATGCGGTGACTGACAGCGGAAAAGCAACGAAATACAGCTGTATCATATTTGTATAGCCTACAGGTAGCCGCGCAGAATGTGTGTCATTTTCAGTCACGGTACTGTGCATTGGTATGGCAGCCACGTTCAAGGCTAGGATTAATGATGAGGTTGCCCTAAAACTACTTATTCAAGGTTAACGAGCTGGCGGTGGTGGCTCTCGTCATGTCTTTCTGTCATGTGTCATCACAGATTCATACAGTAGCCTATCAAGTGAAGTATTGAACATGATAAATAATAAATAATTTCACTCTCATCTTGTGATCCGAATACTCACATCATTCTTGTTTCATCTCTGTTTCATTGATTATAACTCAACACCCACATCATTTAGAGAATGTTCATAAAAACTAGTTGGACTATGCAAAAATTACTACCAAAGAATGCTGCGTTCAAGAAACAACAGGAATGAAACATGTAGCCTTGTTTGTTTTCTCCAAAGCAGTGATCATGGATGATGAAACTGGAAATCATGAATATTAATATGCCATGTTAGTTTATGCAGGCCTACTGTTTTAAACAGCCTGTTACACCTAAGTCAAATATTAATGTGGCCAAGGATTGGTTCATTCATTTGCATGTTGTGTGATTAGAGGCCTAATGAAAAGAAAGGTATTAATGGCATCTGCTGAATCTGGGAGTTCTCCATGGCACTGAACACTACTGTGTAGTTACAAACCATTACTGTGAGTTTGATGATGCTCCAACAAATATGTAGGCCATGTTTTCCATTTATTATAGATCAATTGATGATTAACTATAGATGATTACCTGAAAAGAACATCAGGTTGGTCTTTGAAATAATGGATTTCAGAATCAGAATCACCTTTATTCGCCAAATACATTTACACATACCCATAATTTGCCTTGGTGAGAAGGTGCTGCCAGCAATATACAAACAGAGTACAGACACAAGTCCACATAGACATCATATAGAATATACAATATCAGAACACTAACCATAAAACATAAAACTCTAGAGTATATTATAGGCTGATTACAGTGGGAATATACCATTTACAGATGGGATATATCTATATAAGCAGAGGGAGGGATGTTGCTGTGTCGAATATATACAGTGCATATACAGTGTTGTGCTGAGGTGTACATTGTGCCATTGCAGTATAGTGCAGATTGGTATTCGAGGTCATTGATGACAAGGTGCAGTAATCGGCCCAATGCAAAGTCACTTAATCCCTATGAGCCCGATGGCCGGTTGATGAGGGCCACAGCATGGGGGAAGAAACTGTTCAGGTGGTGGGCGGTTTTGGTCATGATTGGCCTAATCCGTCTGCCAGAGAGGAGTCTTTGAAATATGGGGTGTCCATGGTGGGCAGGGTCGGCGATGATCTGACCTGCAAGCTTCCTTATCCTGGAGGCGTGCAGGTCCTTGATGGAGGGCAGGTGACAACCGATGACTTTCCACAGACCGGACGATGCACTGCAGTTTGCCCTTGCAGTGGGCAGACGCAGACCCAAACCAGGTGATAGAAAAGGTGAGGATGGACTCCTTTGGTCACGTTTTCCCCCTATAGTAGGCTATATGGCCTGGTTCTTGGATGTACACATTGGAGAGGGCTAGATGCCCATATTAAGCAGGACAAGCTTTCTCATGGGGCTTCTAAAGTGCAGGCAGGAGGGTTGAAATGCAAACATGTCATTGACATGCAGAGGTTCTCTTCACTTTGTCCGTCAAAGAGATGGAAGTCAACACTGACTTTGGTTTTACTCACTATTGGAAACATAAGCCCTACAGATATGAGTTGAGGATGAACAACATAAATGTCCTGCTAACTTATGAGTTGGATGTGGCTCTGACTATTTAACTGGCCACAACTCCATATTAAGAAGGTCTTCCTAATGTTTGGTATACGCAGTGTATGTCTGGATTGGAGAATATGTGGGCTGTGCAGGCTTAAAGGCCCAGTGCAGTCACAAACTAGATTTACGTGTGTTTTATATATATTTCCACACGATGAGGTTGGAATTAGAGCTGTTTAAAAAGACCGCCTGAAATTTCAGCCTGTTTTGGTGGGGTGGAGTTTTGGCCTGCCTGGTGACATCACCTGGTGGTAAATAGTATTTATATTATGTTAATAGACCTATAAGAAAGGGAGTTCCAAACCTCTCTGCCAATAACAGCTAGTTTTCAGTTTTTCCCTCCCCACTCAGACAACTCCCAGATAGTCCTAGCAACATTTTTGATTGAGAAATTGTTCTTTACTAAGAAGCTATTTTTGTTTGTTATTGACCATTTTGATTGAAAATAATCAAAGTAAGGTACTTAATTGTTACCCAGAAAATATTTGATATTGAGATAAAAACGGCTGCATTGGACCTTTAACGGTCCAACTCATAACAGAGCTGGCTTTAGTTCAATAGTAGCCTCTGCTGAGTCCCCAACAACCGGATGTTCCGGTTTTCAGGGGAAATGGAAATAGAGCCTGTGATGCAGTTTTCGCTTTTGGTCATTAAACTCTTACCCTACGAGGTCCGGAGCCTGCTGGTTTTCTGTTCTACCTGATAATAAATTGCACCCACTTGGTGTCCCAGGTCTAAATCAGTCTCTGATTAGAGGGGGGAAATGAAAAAAAAGCATTGGAACTGGCTTTGAGGTCCAGAGTTGAGTTTGAGGGATGTAGGATCTAGTGTCAGGCATTTATTTTATGCCTGCTACGTTAGGTTAGTTCAATAGTTAATTCCATTCCATACCATTGTTGGAAGCAGTGACTGTAGTGGACGGCAATGCTGGCTTTTGGCCAAATTTGGGTTCCCTTCTCCATCCCCAAATATGCCCAACATGTCTGGTATCAGTAAAAAGTCAGTGAAAAGGTGAGAATAAATAAGATACGAGTAATGAAAATGGAGAACCACACAGTGGTACACAGTGTATAATGTCAGCAGAGTGTTCTCTGTTCCAGCCTCTTTCTTCCTCTATTCTCTTCTCTTTAGCTGATGTCGACTGTGTTTACTATGCTTGAGTAAGCATTAATAACCTCAACAGGATATGAATAAAGGCTACCTCTCTGTCTATGTGTGACAATAACAAGAAGGATAGCCCTGGGTAGGCTAGAGAGAGAGAGAGAGAGAGAGAGAGAGAGAGAGAAGAGAGATAGAGAGAGAGAGAGAGAGTAGAGAGCGAGAGAGAGAGAGAGAGAGAGGAGAGAGAGAGATATAGAAGCTATATACTCTCTAGCTAGCCTCTCTCTCATCATCTGCTCTCTCATTACTCTCCTCTCTCTCTCCTCCTCGCTCTGCTTCTTGGCTCCCTTTTCTTCTCCCCCATTTTGCCTACCCATGTTATACCATGGGACCTAAATCACTGCCCTGGTGGCCCAGCCTGCTCTACCATGGGATTGAATAGAAGGGAGAATCCAATGAAAAATAAACATTATGAAAATTGGAAACATGAAAAGTGGAAACCACAAACTCAATTCATGTTGAATACCTTCATAAAAGGTATGGTGACTATTTCTTCAGAGCTACAGTAAGGAAAGAAGAATGTTGCTGTTAAGCCATTGGTCGCTCAACCGGGGAAACTGCATTATTGTAACATAAATATACATATTCCATGTGACGCTGCATTTTTTACATTTGCCCTTGGGTGGGGAAAAACCCACTGTTGCCCCTTCTTCAGCCAATTTACATTGATGTTCATTTACGATTGCTTAAGGACAGGCAAGATGATCGTGCAGATCATCATTCAGTTAACTTCTTTATGGAGCTCAATTAGTAAATTAACTGGTGTCGTCATAATGAGCAGAGAGCCTACACAGAACCTGGATTGCAGTCATAGAACAGATGCAGGAACATACTTCCATGATAAGCTCTTATTAAACGAGCATGAGGTTGCAAAGTGCTATCAGTATGGTGGGCAACCATGTAGCACAGCTCCTAAGGTGTTTGTTTGTGATTAGGTTTATACCCATAGTTTTTAGGCAAATGTAAGATGCTTCAGAAATGAATGGATGTGGATGGATGGATGGATGGATTGGGCATGTGATGAACAATATGGTAATTATCGAGAAGCAGAAATTGTGGCACTGTGGTTTATAGGCCTATTGTATATATCTCCTTCGTCATCATTCATGTTATGGAAGGGGCTCAGTTGCTTCAATGAACCTGTGACAATGTGGCTTGCCTTGCGTCCGTTGATTGTCTACTCTACCTGTTGCCGAGTTTATTACTAACATTAGCCCAATATTTATAACATTGCAAAGTAATTTAACTAATATAAGTCGCCATTGTTGTGTTTGAAGAAATGTGCAACTTCATTCACCTTGCTTCTGTGTTTGTTTGGTTATACTGTCATGTCAATAATTGCTCCCACACAAGCATGTGGTTTAAGAAACATTACACAGTTCTTAGTTTACATGGTCCGTATTTAGCTATCATTAAAAGTAATACATTACTCACTTTAGATATGTATACACATTTTTTTACATGCAGCAATTTTGTGAAAAATTGTGAGTGACAGAAAAATAACAGGAGCTAAAGCAAGTATTCACTGAATACCACATTAGAATGTTGACAGGAAGGAATGTTCTAAGGAATGTTCCCGAATGTAGATCATTTTGGTAGTGGTTGTCTCAACAGGAGAATGGGAGGCTGGGGATCATGAATCATATTGTGAACGCATCCAAGAGACTGCTGCATTCCCAGTCCCACTCATCCTCAGACATCAAGTGGGATTTGGGGACTTGTTTGGCGAGGTAACACAACAAGTCTGTTTGAAGAACAAGTATTACAGCAACAATAAACTCATTTTACTGTAGTAAATCAAGTCCATACAGTTTTCCAAAAGTACTGGTTAGTGGCAATAACTCATCTAAAACCAGTGTGAGTTTGACTTCATACTGTAGCTAGCTAGGCCTATCCATCTGAATGCAACAATACAAGATGCTAAGAAGACATTGGATATTGGTAGGTAACAGGAACAGTAGCTAGCTAGACCACTTTCAATCATCATGGCCTGTTTACCAATGGAATTATCAATTGAAACCTGAAACTTGAACTTGCATCAACACTTTAGAGATGTTAATTGGCAACTCATTGTGACATTGTTTCCCCCACGTCCGATGTGTGCTTCCGGTCCTAGGGGGAGACAACTTGTTGGATTGGGTGCCCATTCACATTGCCCAGTGTGGAGATGCCATATTTTGGAGCAGGGGTTTAGTTTCTCTCTGTTTGTTATTTGAGTGTGTAAATCAAATCAAATCAAATTGTATTTGCCACATGCGCTGAATACAACAGGTGTAGACATTACCGTGAAATGCTTACTTACAGCCCTTAACCAACAATGCATTAATATTTTTATAAAGAAGTAAAATAAAACAACCACAACAAAAAAGTGTTGAGAAAAAAAGAGCAGAAGTAAAATAAAATAACAATAGGGAGGCTATATACAGGGGGGTACCGGTGCAGAGTCAATGTGCGGGGTCACCGGCTAGTTGAGGTAGTTGAGGTAATATGTACATGTGGGTAGAGGTAAAGTGACTATGCGTAAATAATTAACAGAGTAGCAGCAGCGTAAAAAGATGGGGTGAGGGTGGGGGGGCAGTGCAAATAGTCCGGGTAGCCATGATTAGCTGTTCAGGAGTCTTATGGCTTGGGGGTAGAAGCTGTTGAGAAGCCTTTTGGACCTAGACTTGGCTCTCCGGTACCGCTTGCCGTGCGGTAGCAGAGAGAACAGTCTATGACTTGGGTGGCTGGAGTCTTTGACAATTTTGAGGGCCTTCCTCTGACACCGCCTGGTATAGAGGTCCTGGATGGCAGGAAGCTTGGCCCCAGTGATGTACTGGGCCGTACGCACTACCCTCTGTAGTGCCTTGCGGTCGGAGGCCGAGCAGTTGCCATACCAGGTGGTGATGCAACCAGTCAGGATGCTCTCGATGGTGCAGCTGTAGAACCTTTTGAGGATCTGAGGACCCTTGCCAAATCTTTTCAGTCTCCTGAGGGGGAATAGGCTTTGTCGTGCCCTTTTTACGACTGTCTTGGTGTGTTTGGACCATGATAGTTCGTTGGTGATGTGGACACCAAGGAACTTGAAGCTCTCAACCTGTTCCACTACAGCCCCGTCAATGAGAATGGGGGCGTGCTCAGTCCTTTTTTTTTTCCTGTAGTCCACAATCATCTCCTTTGTCTTGGTCACGTTGAGGGAGAGGTTGTTATCCTGGCACCACACGGCCAGGTCTCTGACCTCCTCCCTATAGGCTGTCTCATCGTCGTCGGCAAACTTAATGATGGTGTTGGAGTCGTGCCTGGCCATGCAGTCATGGGTGAACAGGGAGTACAGGAGAGGACTGAGCATGCACCCCTGAGGGGCCCCCGTGTTGAGGATCAGCGTGGCAGATGTGTTGTTACCTACCCTTACCACCTGGAGGCGGCCCGTCAGGAAGTTCAGGATCCAGTTGCAGAGGGAGGTGTTTAGTCCCAGGATCCTTAGCTTAGTGATGAGCTTTGAGGGCACTATGGTGTTGAACGCTGAGCTGTAGTCAATGAATAGCATTCTCACGTAGGTGTTCCTCTTGTCCAGGTGGGAAAGGGCAGTGTGGAGTGCAATAGAGATTGCATCATCTGTGGATCTGTTGGGGCGGTATGCAAATTGGAGTGGGTCTAGGGTTTCTATTGTTTTGGGTTGAGGTATGGTTCTATGCTATTATTAGGAGTGTAAAATCTGTGATGTATTTTAGAAAGATAATGTCACCTCTGTAGAAGTGAGTTGGTTTGACCCGTTCCAGTTGGAGAGTTAGCAACTAGGATACATTTTTGACAGTTTGTTTCAGACCTTCAGGGCTGGAGGAAAAGGGTAGACTGCTAAAAGTTATCTGCGTGTCCCTCTGCAATAGTAATAATGCTTGTTATGAGTGCAGCTTTAAAGTAAAGGAGCTGTAGGACAATGTGAAATGTTTACAAGACAGTTATTCTAGCTTTACTTATTTTCTAGGATCCACTTTGTAAAATATAAAGTTGACAGCCTACCACTATAATCTTGCTGTAAATAAAACAGCAGACTCCTAACTTAACTTTTTCACAAGACCACATAATCTGAAACAGGTACTTTGCTTTCTAAATCCACTGTCGATGAGTTCTGATTATTACAAGGAGCATGTGTGCGCCTAAATTGAAAAATGTAGGGGCACACAAAGAAATGTAGGAGCACAATGAACAATATTTGAGATATTAAAGCTAGAAAACGTAATTTTTCTAGGCGCACTGGTGCTTCTAGATTACATTTTCAGATCGCACAGCAAAGTATTTAGGCGGATATGCGAGTAAAATGGTTGACTGTACAGCCCTCATATCATTGTCAGCTGTTGCAGTGGTTGGTACAGTTATTATATCAATCGTGATCTTCATTATATTAGCAAAGCCATTATCATTCTAATCTAGACTGTATTGATTATAGCACTGGCATATTAGCTGATTAAAATGCATGAAGAAGATGAAGCAACCCATTGACTGGATAGAATGAGACTGTCATGCTGCAGAATGAGACTGTCAACCTTGGGGTTGAAGAAGCGTTAAATTACTTGAATTAGAGCTCATTCAATGCATGAAGCTGGAGAAACCCACATGAGGGATAGGGGAGTGGAGTGTTTCCTTACTATGTAACCTTTGCATTACTATGTGACCTTAACTCTGGGCCCTAGTGGTAGCCTAGACTGTATCCAAGGCACAGTGTTCTAGTCAGTCAAGAAAACCCCAACACTATAGTTCTGTGTTCATCCACCAATAAGAGTCCCTCCTACTATATTAACACCTCCACCCCCATCAACAGAGAATTGTTCCTCTCACTGGTGTAAGATCTGTAAATGCCATCAGCTCCTGAAGATGCCCTTGGTCAGCTGCAAAAAGATAAACATTTCCCTTCAAATGTATTTTCCCTTCAAATGTTACACTTCCATTGTTTTTTATCAATAGTCCTTACTCATTCTCAACAGATTGCATGCTATGCCATTCTGTTGCTGTTGTAATAATGTGTAATCTCCGTTGAAAGAGGCATATGGAAACTGCCTGTGTGATATCTGTACAAACCCAGTTCTCACAGAGCACTCAGATTTTTCTGAAGTGGAGAGAACTATAAATGGAGAATAAATGGAAAATCTACCCTGTGTAATCACTGTGCTTTCATAAGCCACTCATTTTGTGTTCTCCATGTTCAGTTCATTATGTTATTTTGGTTCTGTGTGTACTATGCAATGCGGTACAAAGTGTTTTTGTGCTTGGGTAACAGTTGGTTATCAACAAGTACTAAGGGTAAAGCGCTTAAGACTGTGGAATTCTGTTGTGGTCCAATCACTCTTAGCACAATAGTGTTTAATATCAAACCACTTATCATTATTGTATTCTTTATGTTTCTTAGTTTGCTAAATTAAGTCGCTGAATGGAAGCAGTGGCCCCTTTGTGGCCCTGTCTGGAAGATCATTTCAGTTTAAAAGGCAAAAATCTCAGTGCTCAGGAAGGATGTCATTTTGAAGAATAGTGGGTTGTATTTTGGATGGCTTGTCCGACATGGCTCTTATAGTAGTTTGCTTTCTGTCTGCTGCTTGCCATATGTTATCATGACAGCTTCTAACCTGTCTCTCATTTCTCTCTTTCTTTCTTTCTCAAACATCTGTCTATCGCCCTCCTCTGCTTTATCTCTCTCTTTCTCTTTCTGTCTTCCTCTATCCTCCTCTCAACCTCATCTCTCTCTCTGTCTTCCCTACCACTCCCCCTCTCTCCCTCCCCCCTCTCTCTCTCCCTCCCCCTCTCTCCCTCCAGCTCCCGATCCTGGCCTCCTCTGTGGTCAGCCTGTATTTCCTGGAGCTGACCGATGTGTTCAAACCGGTGCGGTCGGGTTACAGCTGCAATGACCGCAGTCTGAGCATGCCCTACATCGAGCCCGCTGAGGAAGTCATCCCTTTCCTCATGCTCTTCAGCCTGGCCTTCGCTGGACCTGCAGCTACGGTCAGTATAACCACAAACCTCATTCTCTAGCTCCGTATTGGTTGCCTAAAGGATGTAGCATCATAGGTTCCAGATCTGTTTTTGCTGTCTTACCAACTCCTAGTCAAGCCAAACAATGACCATAGAAGTTGGAAAGACAGTACTATCAGATCTGGGACCAGGCTAGTAGCATCAGTGTGCTCTTCAATTTACTCTCATGCCGGTGTTAGGTGAACTCACAGTCAGTGTTTCCCCAAATGTATTCTGAAGTGATCACTTCTTAGGGTTTAGGGCCTGTGTGCTGGAAAACTCACTCCGTCCTGGTTTACTCACTGTGTGTGTGCTTAGTCCCCCTCTAAGGGTTCAATATTCAGTGTGCCAGCTAAATTCACTCTTCGTGTTTCATTTCTAAGGGCTTACTCACGGCCAGCATGCCCTTAAACTCAGTGTGTTCCCTCCAAATGGTTCATCCACATTTCAGTAGTCACATATGGTTTATTCATGCTGAATGAGAGTTCAGGGAGAATCCAAAGGGCTTACTTACACTGTCTGGGGTTCACTCCAAAAAAGAATGCTCATTTACCTGGATTTACTATTTTCAGAAGGATTTTCTCCCAATGGTATGTCACAATTTGTTTATTCATGCAGATGAATTCACTCCTAGACTGTAGGATCACTTCTAAGGGTTCACTCACCCAGAAGTGTACACTCCCTAGGGTTTTTCCATGTACAGTGGATCTACCTTTAGGGTCTAGTAAAGAATAGGTTTTCATTGTTTTCAAGTGTTCTGGCTTTGGGCTTGTAGGGGTTCAAATGCCATCATTTTGCTAAAGGTCTTGATTTTGTAATAGTCTCTTCCATAAAGATAACATCTCTATGGTTTTCTATCTATGGTCTCTTCTCTGTATTAGACACTGCTAATGTGAGAAAACAACAGACCTGACGGTGTCTGTGAGACAGTTTCCCATGGACCTTTTATGGAAAGTGTTGGCCTACACATTCCAAAACATCTCCTGATTTTTCTGGTTAATAATTGTCATAATTCAACATTCATTTGGCGTGTTATATTCATACAATTCTTAGCATCACTCTGCTGCTGCTCTCTCTCTACGCTCCTCAGCAAAAATTCCTCTGACAGCATCGCGCTTGGCGACACATTCTCTTTCTCTCTTTTGGCTGTTATCACCTAGGCAACCTGTGCTTCTTGCAGTGTCATGCTTTGTCTCTCAGACCCGTACAGTTTGGCTGGCGCTGTCAGTTTCTATTGGACTGTTGCCCACCTAGGGCCACTGTCTGAACATCAACACAGACAGAGACAGACAGACAAACAGACAGACCTGAGACAGAAATTTGTCGGGTCATGTGGTGAAGGTTTTTTGAAGTCCTATAGTAGCCTACTGCATGCTATATTTAACAGGTGGACTTGGGGTGCTTAGAATGACAGTAGGTTATGATAAAGCATAGCCATGATAAGGCCAATTATTGTTATAGCTGAAATTCATCTGCTAAAACCATTTATGGATTTTATAAAACAGCTTTCCACTGAAGGGTTTACTTGTGTTTTTTAAAGCTTGCATTACTTGGTCTCGAGGTGGAAACACACAGAGGAATCTACACTTGGTTTCTCTATTTAGCTTTCTTCTACTTTAGCTATATGACTACATTATCGGACTATGAAACTGGCTTTGCAGTCAAAATGAATATGGTTCAGATACTGAGCTGTGACTGTAATTGTTAAAGAAATAGGTCACTATACATCTTTAGTATTATACACAAAAACTACAGACGGCCATATAATACAAAAGCATACTAAAATCCTTTCAGTATAATGGCTTATGTGTCCACCTCTAGCAACATGTGCTATGATGGTTAATGCAACTCCCTATCTCTCTCCTTGAGTCATTAACGTCATATTATCCCCCTTATTTGAGATATATCAAATAAATAGATTCTATAACATCAACATCTCTGTATACCCGTCACAAGACCCACTGGTTGATGCTTATTTATAAAACTATCTTAGGCCTCAATCCCCCCTATCTGAGATACCTAATGCAGCCCTCATCCTCCACATACAACACCCATTCTGCCAGTCACATTCTGTTAATGGTCCCCAAAGCACACACATCCCTGGGTTGCTCCTCTTTTCAGTTCGCTGCAGCTAGCGACTGGAACGAGCTGCAAAAAACACTCAAACTGGACAGTTTTATCTCCATCTCTTCATTCAAAGACTCAATCATGGACACTCTTACTGACAGTTGTGGCTGCTTCGTGTGATGTATTGTTGTCTCTACCTTCTTGCCTTTGTGCTGTTGTCTGTGCCCAATAATGTTTGTAACATGTTTTGTGCTGCTACCATGTTGTGCTGCTGCCATGTTGCGTTGCTACCATGTTGTTGTCATGTGGTGTTGCTGCCATGTTGTGTTGTCATGTGTTGCTGCCATGCTATGTTGTTGTCTTAGGTCTCTCTTTATGTAGTGTTGTGGTGTCTCTGTTGTCGTGATGTGTGTTTTGTCCTATATTTTTATTTTCTATCCCATGCCTTTTGCCTTTTGGTAGGCCGTCATTGTAAATAAGAATTTGTTCTTAACTGACTTGCCTAGTTAAATAAAGGTTAAATAAAATAAATAAATAAATACATATTCTGTAGCAGGATCTTTTTGTTAATGTTTTCTTTTGTATTCTACCCCCTTTTTCTCCCCAATTCCGAACTTATCTTATCGCTGCAACTCCCCAACGGGCTCGGGAGGCGAAGATCGAGTCATGCGTCCTCTGAAACATGACCTGCCTAACCGCGCTTCTTAACACCCGCCCGCTTAACCCGGAAGCCAGCCGCACCAATGTGTCAGAGGAAACACTGTTCAACTGACGATCGAGGTCAGCCTGCAGGCGCCCAGCCTGCCACAAGGAGTCGCTAGAGCAGGATGAGCCAAGTAAAGCCCCCCCGGCCAAAACCTCCCCTAACCCGGACGACGCTGGGCCAATTGTGCGCCGCCCAATGGGACTCCCGATCACGGCCGGTTGTGATACAGCCCGGGATCGAACCCGCGATGCAGTGCCTTAGACCGCTGCACCACTCGGAAGGCCCCCAACAGGAGATATTATTGATGGACTATGAATCCTGCCTTATATAATTTGTTCCCACTCGCTGATCCTCTCATCATTAAAGTAAATGCATGCAATTACCTATTTAATGTCATGTTCCTCCTACCATGCAGAACGCACACTTTACATTATACAGTATAGGCCAGGGTTCTTCAATTCCGTTCCTGGAGGGCCGAAACACTTCTGTTTTTAATTTCTACCTGGTAGTTAATTGCACTCACCTGGTGTCCCAGGTCTGAATTAGCCCCTGATTAGAAGGAGAGGATGAAAAACAGAGGTGTTTTGGCCCTCCAGGACCGGAATTGAAGAACCCTGGTATAGGCTGTACTGTAGTAATTACTCATAAAATGGAAAGTTGTATACCGCTATAGAACATCTAAACAATTTGGCAATGGATATTAATTTATTCAGAGGGCATGCCTATGTAGCATGAATGTATCTCACTCTTCTAGAAGTGTTCTGCCCTTGGGCTTTTACAGGTTAAAGTGTCATCATTTATCTGTTTTGTTTGAAATGTATATTTTGTCCAAAGTCTTCTTTGTTGAAATTACATTTTTATGAATGATTCTTCTGCCAAAACAATTTCACCCCTTGAGGATTCTGTTTTCTACTACTACTTTTATGATTTGTAGATTGAACACACTTTTCTAGTATTTCAAACATACACATTCACATATGTGTTCATCATTTTTAATTTGCTGTATTTTAATATTGCAAATAGATTGTGGCTTCAATCATTGTAATTGTTTGCATAATTTCCAATTCCCCATATATTTTTTAAAGAAATAAAAATATTATTTTAAATATGTAGAGTGCATTCGGAAAGTATTCAGAACCCTTCACCTTCTCCACATTTTATTTTATGGGAAACAATTATTGTGATTAATCGTATACTGTCCCTAACATCATTACCCCTTAGCAACAGACATGGGATACATACAGTGGCTTGCGAAAGTATTCACCCCCCTTGGCATTTTTCCTATTTTGTTGCCTTATAATCTGGAATTTAAATGGATTTTGGGGGGATTTGTATAATTTGATTTATACAACATGCCTACCACTTCGAAGATGCAAAATATTTGTCATTGTGAAACAAAAAAGAAATAAGACAAAAAAACAGAAAATTTGAGCATGCAAAACAATGCAAACAAAGCTTATAGAGACATACCCCCCCCCCCCCCCCCCCAAAGTCAATACTATGTAAAGCCATCTTTTGCAGCAATTACAGCTGCAAGTCTCTTGGGGTATGTCTCTATAAGCTTGGCACATCTAGCCACTGGGATTTTTGCCCATTCTTCAAGGCAAAACTGCTCCAGCTCCATCAAGTTGGATGGGTTCCGCTGGTGTACAGCAATCTTTAAGTCATACCACAGATCCTCAATTGGATTAAGGTCTGGACTTTCACTAGGCCATTCCAAGACATTTAAATGTTTCCCCTTAAACCACTCAAGTGTTACTTTAGCAGTATGCTTAGGGTCATTGTCCAGCTGGAAGGTGAACCTCCGTCCCAGTCTCAAATCTCTGGAAGACTGAAACAGGTTTCCCCTCAAGAATTTCACTGTATTTAGCGCCATCCATCATTCCTTCAATTCTGATCAGTTTCCCAGTCCCTGCCGATGAAAAACATCCCCACAGCATGATACTGCCACCACCATGCTTCACTGTGGGGATGGTGTTCTCAGGGTGATGAGAGGTGTTGGGTTTGCGCGTTTTCCTTGATGGCCAAAAAGCTCAATTTTAGTCTCATCTGACCAGAGTACCTTCTTCCATATGTTTGGGGAGTCTACCACATGCCTTTTGGCGAACACTAAACGTGTTTGCTTATTTATTTCTTTAAGCAATGGCTTTTTTCTGGGCACTCTTCCGTAAAGCCCAGCACTGTGGAGTGTACGGCTTAAAGTGGTCCTATGGACAGACTCCAATCTCCGCTGTGGAGCTTTGCAGCTCCTTCAGGGTTATCTTTGGTCTCTTTGTTGCCTCTCTGATTAATGCCCTCCTTGCCTGGTCTGTGGGTTTTGGTGGGCGGCCCTCTCCTGGCAGGTTTGTTGTGGTGCCATATTCTTTCAATTTTTTAATAATGGATTTAATGGTGCTCCATGGGATGTTCAAAGTTTCAGATATTTTTTTATAACCCAACCCTGAACTGTTTGGAGAGCTCCTTGGTCTTCATGGTGCCGCTTGCTTGGTGGTGCCCCTTGCTTAGTGGTGTTGCAGACTCTGCGTCCTTTCAGAACAGGTGTATATATACTGAGATCATGTGACAGATCATGTGACACTTAGATTGCACACAGGTGGACTTTATTTAACTAATTATGTGACTTCTGAAGGTAATTGCACCAGATCTTATTTAGGGGCTTCATAGCAAAGTGGGTGAATACACATGTACGCACCACTTTTCCATTATTTATTTTTTTAATTTCACTTCACCAATTTGGAGTATTTTGTTTATGTCCATTACATGAAATCCAAATAAAAATCCATTTAACTTACAGGTTGGAATGCAACAAAATAGGAAAAACGCCAAGGGGGATGAATACTTTTGTAAGGCACAAACTCTCCCCACCATACCCCCACAAACAACCACAAGCTCAGACGTTCAACAGTTGTTCCATCCCCGAGCCCAACTCAAGAGAAGACTTGATGTGCGAAAGCATATACAGTTGTAGCTGTTTAAGAAGGCATGCAAAATTGAGCAAGAATGGGGAGATTTGCTTAACCAATGTCAAGTCCTAGCTGATGGATCTCAGATACAGTGGGGAAAAAAGTATTTAGTCAGCCACCAATTGTGCAAGTTCTCCCACTTAAAAAGATGAGAGAGGCCTGTAATTTTCATCATAGGTACACGCCAACTATGACAGACAAATTGAGAATTTTTTTTCCAGAAAATCACATTGTAGGATTTTTTATGAATTTATTTGCAAATTATGGTGGAAAATAAGTATTTGGTCACCTACAAACAAGCAAGATTTCTGGCTCTCACAGACCTGTAACTTCTTCTTTAAGAGGCTCCTCTGTCCTCCACTCGTTATCTGTATTAATGGCACCTGTTTGAACTTGTTATCAGTATAAAAGACACCTGTCTACAACCTCAAACAGTCACACTCCAAACTCCACTATGGCCAAGACCAAAGAGCTGTCAAAGGACACCAGAAACAAAATTGTAGACCTGCACCAGGCTGGGAAGACTTAATCTGCAACAGGTAAGCAGCTTGGTTTGAAGAAATCAACTGTGGGAGCAAGTATTAGGAAATGGAAGACATACAAGACCACTGATAATCTCCCTCGATCTGGGGCTCCACGCAAGATCTCACCCCGTGGGGTCAAAATGATCACAAGAACGGAGAGCAAAAATCCCAGAACCACACGGGGGGACCTAGTGAATGACCTGCAGAGAGCTGGGACCAAAGTAACAAAGCCTACCATCAGTAACACACTACGCCGCCAGAGACTCAAATCCTGCAGTGCCAGACGTGTCCCCCTGCTTAAGCCAGTACATGTCCAGGCCCGTCTGAAGTTTGCTAGAGTGCATTTGGATGATCCAGAAGAGGATTGGGAGAATGTCATATGGTCAGATGAAACCAAAATATAACTTTTTGGTAAAAACTCAACTCGTCGTGTTTGGAGGACAAAGAATGCTGAGTTGCATCCAAAGAACACCATACCTACTGTGAAGCATGGGGGTGGAAACATCATGCTTTGGGGCTGTTTTTCTGCAAAGGGACCAGGACGACTGATCTGTGTAAAGGAAAGAATGAATGGGGCCATGTATCGTGAGATTTTGAGTGAAAACCTCCTTCCATCAGCAAGGGCATTGAAGATGAAACGTGGCTGGGTCTTTCAGCATGACAATGATCCCAAACACACCGCCCGGGCAACGAAGGAGTGGCTTCGTAAGAAGCATTTCAAGGTCCTGGAGTGGCCTAGCCAGTCTCCAGATCTCAACCCCATAGAAAATCTTTGGAGGGAGTTGAAAGTCTGTGTTGCCCAGCGACAGCCCCAAAACATCACTGCTCAAGAGGAGATCTGCATGGAGGATTGGGCCAAAATACCAGCAACAGTGTGTGAAAACCTTGTGAAGACTTACAGAAAACGTTTGAGCTGTGTCATTGCCAACAAAGGGTATATAACAAAGTATTGAGAAACTTTTGTTATTGACCAAATACTTATTTTCCACCATAATTTGCAAATAAATTCATTAAAAATCCTACAATGTGATTTTCTGGATTTTCTTTTGTCATTTTGTCTGTCATAGTTGACGTGTACCTATGATGAAAATTACAGGCCTCTCTCATCTTTTTAAGTGGGAGAACTTGCACAATTGGTGGCTGACTAAATACTTTTTTTCCCCACTGTACATCCCTTTCCCCTGAAACACACACACGCTGGTCCCCCGTTGTGACCATTTTCCGAAGCATCTCTGAAAATCTCACATACTGTATGTGTTCATACATAATTGAAGTTATCGCCTGCAGTTTTCTCCATGTTGATGTTTTCCTCTTTCTCATACAGTCTGTCATTGTATGTTGTTTCCCACCTGTTCTCATGTAGATATATTTCCCCCGCTGCTTAGATGGTTCAACCCAGATATTCAGTGTTTCCCAACAGGGTAATTTGTTTCTCATCCCGCAGGTGAGTTAGTACGTGCCAGCTGTCGTGGGGAGTTTCCCACGCTGGTCCTGTGGTTTGTCCCAGCTGTGGCCTGTGTAGTAACCAATCTTTACCTCAGCATGGCACAGGGAGCCGGGGGAGGGTTCAGACTGTAGTAGCTGCCTCAGAGGCAGTCCGTTAGTGTAGCTGCCTCCGAGGCAGCCAGTTAGTGTAGCTGCCTCCGAGGCAGCCAGTTAGTGTAGCTGCCTCAGAGGCAGTCAGTTAGTGTAGCTGCCTCAGAGGCAGCCAGTTAGTGTAGCTGCCTCAGAGGCAGTCAGTTAGTGTAGCTGCCTCAGAGGCAGTCAGTTAGTGTAGCTGCCTCTGAGGCAGCCAGTTAGTGTAGCTGCCTCAGAGGCAGTCAGTTATTGTGGCTGCCTCAGAGGCAGAAGGCTCAGGTGGTGGAGCAGCCCTGCATTCACTTTAGCTATCTCACTTTCCCTAACAGATGATGCTATCCACAGGCAATTTATAACTGAGATTATGAATAAATTATCTGTCAGTGTTGGCGTCATTACCAAATAAATTATAGTCAATTCAGGAGTGGAATTGCAATCCTATGAATAAATTATTTGGTCCAATTATTCAACATACAGAAACTGAACTAGGATGGACCCCAACCCTGGTCTATGTTAATTAAACACTCTTCTGTCCTTTCTGTCGATTCTCTTCTTAGATAATGATAGGAGAAGGTATCCTGTATTGCTGTCTGTCTAGGAGAAAGACTGGAGTCAAAACAGAGGCCAATATCAATGCAGCCGGCTGCAATTTCAACTCGTATATACGGCGTGCTGTTCGGTTTGTTGGTAAGTTTAGGTATTTTCTCAATCGGGACATCTTGAAAACATGTGTATCTAACTTCACAACACCCAACACTGACCCAGCTGTGTAGTGAACACCCACATTTTGTGTTTTGTCGTGTCTTTTGGTGATTAGCTGAGGAATATCTCCCTTGCTCTCCCACTTTCCCCCCCCCCCCATCCCCCCCCCCCCCCCCCATCGCTCTACCAGGGGTCCACGTATTTGGACTGTGCATCACGGCTCTCATCACTGACATCATCCAGCTGTCGACAGGCTACCACGCCCCATACTTCCTGACAGTGTGTAAACCCAACTACACCACGCTCAACTTGACCTGTGACGACAGCTCCTTCATCACAGAGGACTTCTGTTCTGGAGGAGCAGGCCCAGCCGTCATCAACGCTGGCAGGTCAGAGTGCTGATCTAGGATCATGTTTGCCATTTAGATCATCATTAATAAGATTACATGGACAGGGGGGATCTGATCCTAGATCAGCACTCTGGTTTATGAATACGGGCCCAGACTGTTTTGAAAATTGATTTTAAAAAATGCATTGAGATTTGAATGATGCATGCACCATCACCCTCACAAGTAACTAGATTATTGATAGAACAGGTGGTTCACCATGACAGTAAGCATTTGTGAATAATATCCACTGTGTCTGTGGAAACAGGTGAAGGGTGAAGTTGCCCCTAGACACTGATCATGGGTCAGTTTAGCATTTTTAGGACTGGTGGATTTTTAGGACTGGTGGAGGGGAACATTATCCTAGATTTGAAGGGGAAACCTAGGGGAAACTTCACCATGGAGTTTGTAAACACAGGCACTGAAATTGTGCTCTGCAAGTGGCACGCTACGTGGGTTTCCACAGATGGTCATTAGCATATCTCTCCAATGTAGTAAAGTCTGAAACTGTATATACAGAAGTTTCACACATTATTACAGCAAACACATTTTCCCGCCGGTAAACCAACAACATGCCTACTGTACATCTATCTGTTGTTCATATTCTGTACATTTGTATTTATTATGGATCCCCATTAGCTGCTGCCAAGGCAGAAGCTACTATTCCTTGGGTCCAGTAAAATTAAGGCAGTTATACATTTTTATAATTTTTTAAAAACATTACAATACATTCACAACAGATTTCACAACATATTAAGTGTGTGCCGTCAGGCCCCTACTCTACTACCACATATCCACAACACAAAATCCATGTGTACGTGTGTGTATAGTGCGTATGTTATCGTGTGTTTGTATGCATGGGTCTGTGCCTATGTTTGTGTTGCTTCACAGTCCCCGCTGTTCCATAATTTTACTGCTTGCATGAGTTACTTGATGTGGAATAGAGTTCCTTGTAGTCATGGCTCTATGTAGTACTGTACATTGGAAAGCAATGTTACGAAATGCTAATATGCTATGTTAAGAACAGTGCTAGCTTGCTAAACAACACCCACACTAGCCTCTACCTCAGGAGTGACTCGCTACCAGTCTCAGAGACATTAGTTTGTTAAAGGCACTTAAAGGAAAGAATCACCCATTTTAAATGTTATATCATCATAACAGCTGTATTTCTGGCTGCTTGAACGATACACATGAAAACATGAAATGACCCTGGGAATTGATAGAACATCGCTCACAGATGCACAAAAACAATATAACATAAAAAATGGGTGAATCTTTTTATTTTAATGTCTCCACTCTCCACCAAGTTGCTGGCTTACCTTAATAAATACTGTGTCTGACTCACTGTACAATGTAGCAGTCCTAGCTACGGTCTGCCGGTACAGAAATAAGAGGAGAGCAAGGAGAACCGGAGATGCCTTTCCTACAGCCCACTCAGTTCATCCCGGTGCACTTGCAAAGCAGGGAATGTGTGGCAGACCTGCCTGAACCCACACACAGACCAGGCAACTCTTACCAAGGCTGTCAGTTTCTGTTTACTCATCAATATGCGGAATCTGTACTGTGTGTCTTCTGTTTTGTCCAGCCTCTCAGGATGAGAAGTTGGCCTGTGCACATTTGCAGGGAGATAGGCCCTTTGGAATCCATATTTTGAAGGTCCCTCAGTTGTCAGACAAAACTCGCTCAGTTGTCAGATTAAACGTTGTTGAATTTCTTAGGATTAGGATATGTTTTAAGTCCCTTAGGGGTGTTGTTTTTGTATTGTACAAAGGATGTATGATATGGAATACTTTAAAAGGCAAGTGGGTCTGGAGGAGGACCATAGATAAATGATGGCTACAGCACAGTAGGTATGTGCTGCTACTGAAATCTGATTGGCTGTCATTTTAATAAAGTAAATAAACAGCTGTTTGTTGACTTTATTCCTCGCTGGCAAGCTGGCTCAGGCTAGGGATATGACAATAACTCACAATGCTTATGGTCAAACTGCTCATAATATGGTTAGTGATTTGCGGGGCAAATAAAACCAACTCATTGCTGTGGCAAATCGATCATGGGATGTGCCCTTCACGGTGGATTTCCCTTTAGTCTGTCTCACTGTCTCTCAAGCGGAAGATTAAAATGACTGTCTCCCTCTCCTGTCGTTCTAGGAAGTCCTTTCCCTCGCAGCATGCCACTCTGGCCGCCTTCGCTGCTGTCTACATCTCTGTAAGTAATCCAGCTACAAGCACACATACACACACACACATAGACGTACACACATACACATCCCTCTCCTCAGCTTACTGCCTCACAGCAGTCTAGTCTAACTGGTCCTCATCCACTGGATGACGACCATGTGTCTTACTCTACAAATGTTTTCCATATTACTGTATTTTGGTTTGAACAGTCTCTGTTAATGTCCACCAAAACATACATTTTCCTTGGAATGGTTGAATTGGAATGCAGTCGTAATGCAAATCAAGTTTCGACATGGGCTACCTCCGTTTACAGTTAAAAGCCTTTAAAAAAAAATTGTATATTGATTCCAGGCCTCTCTACAAACAAGAGCAATTTGTCAAATCTCTAATGCAACTGGATATATGGTAAATAGATAACTGTATAGACGACAGCTGAATTAACTGGATATATGGTAAATAGATAACTGTATAGACGACAGCTGAATTAACTGGATATATGGTAAATAGATAACTGTATAGACGACAGCTGAATTAACTGGATATATGGTAAATAGATAACTGTATAGACGACAGCTGAATTAACTGGATATATGGTAAATAGATAACTGTATAGACGACAGCTGAATTAACTGGATATATGGTAAATAGATAACTGTATAGACGACAGCTGAATTAACTGGATATATGGTAAATAGATAACTGTATAGACGACAGCTGAATTAACTGGATATATGGTAAATAGATAACTGTATAGACGACAGCTGAATTAGCTGGATATATGGTAAATAGATAACTGTATAGACGACAGCTGAATTAACTGGATATATGGTAAATAGATAACTGTATAGACGACAGCTGAATTAACTGGATATATGGTAAATAGATAACTGTATAGACGACAGCTGAATTAACTGGATATATGGTAAATAGATAACTGTATAGACGACAGCTGAATTAACTGGATATATGGTAAATAGATAACTGTATAGACGACAGCTGAATTAACTGGATATATGGTAAATAGATAACTGTATAGACGACAGCTGAATTAACTGGATATATGGTAAATAGATAACTGTATAGACGACAGCTGAATTATTAGCTGTACGGCATCCATACTAGGAAGTCGTCAGTTGTCAGACAAAACTGTCCGAAATCCGTCTTGCCTACTACCTACTAAAACGGCATATTGTGTAGTAATCGTTCTACATAGTGTTTAGAATGTATTGTTTAGTAAAATCGAATGCAGTAAGCAACAAATGTCAACATACTACAAATGTCATCTAATGTGCAATCGGGCTTGTTCCCCGCCATTCGTTCATTTTTATAGAGTGCGTCCCATATTCTGATTATCAGCTGTTGTCAAACGCACGTGGGTCTGAAAATATAATTATCTTCCTCTATAGTGTGCAGAAAATTCTACTAGATGATAAGCCAAAATAAAAAATGTCACATACTTTTAAAAAACATTCTCTTTTCGCATACCCAAAATGCATACTATTTAGAATGCAAGTATGGATATTCGGACACGGCCAGTGAGTTGTCCGACAAAACTTCCACAGTTTTCAGTTGGCGACTTCCTAATAGGGATGCCTGAGTAATGACACTGGTATCTCTCCTCTCTCCTCCAGATGTACTTCAACACTACGTTGACGGACTCCTCCAAGCTGCTGAAGCCCCTGCTGGTCTTCTCCTTCATCATGGGTGGCATCATCTGTGGCCTGACCCGCATCATCCAGTTCAAGAACCACGCCATTGACGTCTACTGTGGCTTCCTCATCGGAGGAGGGATCGCCGTCTACCTGGTGAGATGCTCTAGTAGATCTAGTAGATCTCTAGTTGATCACTGATCTTCTAGGTCTTGGTCCGGGGACACTACCTGGTGACACTCTACTACTGTAGATCTAGGCTGCATCTGAAATAGAACCCTATCCCCTATAAAGTGCACTACTTTTTCTGATCAAAAGAAGTGCACTATATAGGGGATAGGGTGCCATTTAAGACATATCCCTAGGCTCTTCAGTCCTGGTCCTGGAGACCGACAAGAGGTGCAGGTTTTTGTTCCAGTCCATGTTGTAACACACCTAATTCACCTTGTAAATTAAATAACAGGTCAAATTGATTAGTTTAATTAGGTGTGTTAGTATCATGATGGAATAAAAGTCTGCATACCCGGTGGGTCACCAGGACCAGGATTGAAGAACACTGATCTTAAGATTCATCTCATTGAAGCCATTATTTCTAATACTAGGGCACACCTCTGATATTGCTAGCCTCTCATCTCCTTCTAGCCTCTTTAAAAAAAAGTGCTATCTAGGACCTAAAACGGTTCTTCAGCTGTCCCCATAGGAGAACCCTTTGAAGAACCCTTTTATGTTCTAGGTAGAACCCTTTTGTTTCCAGGTAGAACCCTTTTGGGTTCCATGTAGAACTCTTTCCACAGAGGGTTCTACATGGAAACCAAAAGAGTTCTAACTGGAAATAAAAATAGTTCTACCTAGAACCAAAAAGGGTTCTCCTATGGGGACAGCCGAATAACCCTTTTGGAACCCTTTTTTCTAAGAGTGTAGCCTCTTAGATAAGGTGCAACTGTCTGTCTGTATATTGATGGATGTAATGAGTAGTGGCATGTTTTGCTAGCTTGTTTGTTGAGTCTGTGGTGCTTTTGTAAATGGGGTTACAGAAATCCAATTACCGGCATGCTGAACAGAGCAGGATGCACTAGTTTTGAGCAATATGATTCATGCTATTGTATGAGGGTGTCAATGTTTCAACATTATTTAAAACTGTTGGCTATAATTAGGCTATACGGTAATGGATATGTCACCAAAATGAAATGTGCATTGAATTAGCTTAATATGCAGCATCAGATATACATAACATGATTACGATTGGTAAAGATACTGTACAGTACTGTGCATTTGCTCAAATCCATTTCAGCAATATGCGGTAAAATATTCGATTTTCATGGTACAGGATCATAGACAGGTATAAATAACACGCATGCACATCCCACACACATTCATGTCACACCGCCTACACACACCCACACAATATCCTCACATTTAATATTATTTAATCAGAAGTGATTGAGGCTATGATGTGGCTATGATTGTGCCACTGACAATTTACCACAACAGTAATACAGTTTGCTGATGCATTATCTCTGACTCAGTGACTAAGACATGTGTCACATGATCAGTGGCATACCAAATCCATTGCCAAAATCTTGCAGACCTCATGTTGAACGAATGTCTCTTGGCTCTTGGTTAGGCTATTTACAGTGGGGAAAAAAAGTATTTAGTCAGCCACCAATTGTGCAAGTTCTCCCACTTAAAAAGATGAGAGAGGCCTGTAATTTTCATCATAGGTACACATCAACTATGACAGACAAATTGAGGGAAAAAAATCCAGAAAATCTCATTGTAGGATTTTTAATGAATTTATTTGCAAATTATGGTGGAAAATAAGTATTTGGTCACCTACAAACAAGCAAGATTTCTGGCTCTCACAGACCTGTAACTTCTTCTTTAAGAGGCTCCTCTGTCCTCCACTCGTTACCTGTATTAATGGCACCTGTTTGAACTTGTTATCAGTATAAAAGACACCTGTCCACAACCTCAAACAGTCACACTCCAAACTCCACTATGGCCAAGACCAAAGAGCTGTCAAAGGACACCAGAAACAAAATTGTAGACCTGCACCAGGCTGGGAAGACTGAATCTGCAATAGGTAAGCAGCTTGGTTTGAAGAAATCAACTGTGGGAGCAATTATTAGGAAATGGAAGACATACAAGACCACTGATAATCTCCCTCGATCTGGGGCTCCACGCAAGATCTCACCCCGTGGGGTCAAAATGATCACAAGAACGGTGAGCAAAAATCCCAGAACCACACGGGGGACCTAGTGAAGGACCTGCAGAGAGCTGGGACCAAAGTAACAAAGCCTACCATCAGTAACACACTACGCCGCCAGGGACTCAAATCCTGCAGTGCCAGACGTGTCCCCCTGCTTAAGCCAGTACATGTCCAGGCCCGTCTGAAGTTTGCTAGAGTGCATTTGGATGATCCAGAAGAGGATTGGGAGAATGTCATATGGTCAGATGAAACCAAAATATAACTTTTTGGTAAAAACTCAACTCGTCGTGTTTGGAGGACAAAGAATGCTGAGTTGCATCCAAAGAACACCATACCTACTGTGAAGCATGGGGGTGGAAACATCATGCTTTGGGGCTGTTTTTCTGCAAAGGGACCAGGACGACTGATCCGTGTAAAGGAAAGAATGAATGGGGCCATGTATCGTGAGATTTTGAGTGAAAACCTCCTTCCATCAGCAAGGGCATTGAAGATGAAACGTGGCTGGGTCTTTCAGCATGACAATGATCCCAAACACACCGCCCGGGCAACGAAGGAGTGGCTTCGTAAGAAGCATTTCAAGGTCCTGGAGTGGCCTAGCCAGTCTCCAGATCTCAACCCCATAGAAAATCTTTGGAGTGAGTTGAAAGTCCGTGTTGCCCAGCGACAGCCCCAAAACATCACTGCTCTAGAGGAGATCTGCATGGAGGAATGGGCCAAAATACCAGCAACAGTGTGTGAAAACCTTGTGAAGACTTACAGAAAACGTTTGACCTGTGTCATTGCCAACAAAGGGTATATAACAAAGTATTGAGAAACTTTTGTTATTGACCAAATACTTATTTTCCACCATAATTTGCAAATAAATTCATAAAAAATCCTACAATGTGATTTTCTGGAGAAAAAAAGTCTCATTTTGTCTGTCATAGTTGACGTGTAACTATGATGAAAATTACAGGCCTCTCTCATCTTTTTAAGTGGGAGAACTTGCACAATTGGTGGCTGACTAAATACTTTTTTTCCCCACTGTATGTATTTTTGTCTTAGATGTATTCACTGAACGATGCTTGAAAAAGCGTAATGGAATACTGGAATTGTATACTGATGTCTGTCTAGAGACTCCTAACACAATTTTAGACAGTTATAGGTAGATACAGATATATTAGGTATAGATAGGTAGGTAGAGGTAGTTCAAGATGGGTAGTTCAACCTATAATGTATGCTGTCATGGTCTGTCCTCCCTTCAGGGCCTGTATGCGGTGGGTAACTTCCAGCCTAGTCAGGACACGTCCAGACAGCAGCCCCAGCTTCCCCCACTCCGCGAGCCCCCCAGGAGCAACACCGTGCCCAACGTCAGCCAGAGCGCGGGGCGCCACCTGCAGCCCAACAGCCTCAACAGCATGAACAGCCTGAACAGCGTCAGCACCGCCGACAGCCTAACCGCCACCCACCCCGCGACTATCCTGACCCGGGTCCCCTCCCGCCGCGAGTCCAGCTCCCTGAACAACCTGAAGAGGGCCAGTGCTGACGTGGAGTGCATCACCACGTCAAGCACCCTGGGTAAACAGGACAGCCTGGTGACCTTTAACAGTAGCACGTTACCCAGGTTGCACGGCGGCTCGCTCCCCGAGGAGCACCGGGTCCCGCGCCGCCACGCCAGCATCCACGCCTCCATGGACTCCACGCGCTCCAAGCAACTGCTCTCACAGTGGAAGACCAAGAACGAGAACCGCAAGCTCTCACTGCAGGTGATGGACAGTGGGGTGGTGGTGGGACGCCACCATTCAACATCCTCCTCCTCCTCGCCCCAGAGGACCATGGAGCTGAGGTGCAGCTCTGAGCCGTCAGCCATGGGCCTGGAGGCGGAGCTCTGCGCTCAGGGCCATATCCCCGCCCAGTACATGAAGCTGGCAGCTAGCATCGTGCCGCTGTCCAACCACCTCCCCCACAACGGGGGCAGCAGCGGGCTGGCCACGGGGGCCCGAGTCTCCATCCAGTCCCGGCCAGGCTCCTCCCAGCTGGTCCACATCCCAGAGGAGACCCAGGAGCACAACAGCAGCAACTCCACCAGGGAGGATGAGGATGACGAGGACAGGGAGGATAACTACATCGGCAGTGGGATCCCTAGCGGGGGTGGCTCAGTGCGCTCCAAGTGGCTGAAGGTGGCCAAAGAGGGCGCCCCCTGCAGGACTAACAGCCTAACTAACCAGCCGCGCATCATGCAGGTCATCACCATGTCCAAGCAGCAGGGTCTGCTCCAGCACGGCAGCCCCAAGAGCTCTGAGGATGGTAGCGTGGGCAGCTGCACAGGCTCCATCCGTTACAAGGCCCTGACAGACCAGGAGCCCGGCCAGGGCATCGTGAGGGTGGAGGCCCACCCAGAGAACAAGCCTGTGATCAAGCCTCCGGACGGCGGTGGCTCCTGGAGGTGGAAGCCGCAGGAGCAACGGGGCAGCATCCGCCACTCCTTTGAGCTCAACGACCTCAACCGCGACTCGGAGAGCTGCGACTCGCTCAAGGATGGCTACGGCTCCATTGACGAGAGGATGAGTCAGACGGGCACGGACACTGGCAGCGAGCATGGCGGTGGGGGAGGGGGTCACCCCCACGTACACCACCCACACTACCACCACCACCACCACCCCCACCAGGGCATCACCACCATCCGTGTGACCCCTGTGGAGGGACTAAGTGGAGGGGGCAGCGAGGCCGCCTCCGAGACCGTTTCCATTGCCTCCAACCGGGAGTCCACCCTGCGGAAGAAAGGCAAAATCATCCTGCTCCCGGATAGAGGTCCAAGTCCGGACAACTCCATTAACTATTTCAAAGGGACCTCCCCCACACTGCCCCCCACCCTGGGTCTGGCGTATAGGGAGTGAACAGCTGCACAGTCAACACTTATTCTTACCATTCCCCCTTACTGCCCATGTGGTGGCCCTGTCTGTCCCCCCCATGAGTGGCCTTCTACACTGGATCTAGTCTGGAGCCCACAATAAGACTAATGAGAACATTCAGCTCATAAACGGCTGTATATTATCAAATCCATCATGGATTCAGTGGTGTTAGCTGGGCTGACTAAATTGTCCAGTGCATTCTAAAGGTCATAGTTCATTAGAACTAGCTTAGTGTTTCTGGTCCAGGAAGGCCACTGTACGGTACATAGTGGTTTTTCCATTCCCCAAAATCGGATAATTCCTCATTTTTTGCAGTTGTTTACTGTTAGACCTGGTTTGATAGGACCGGACTACCTTTATTGGTGTGTGTTCTTTGAGAAAATGAAACTATAGCACACACAATAATCCTTTAAGAATGCAGAAGATGCTGGAAAATCGCTACAAGGTAATTTTTCTCACACTTTTCAACCATCATTTCATTATATAAACTTTGATCCATTTGAGAAGCACAACGTCTAACTATTTTTATATAGTGGCTATAGTGGTTTGAACTTAGAATTTGATACTATTTGTTATCACCCTGCAAGAGCCTTTGATGGTAATGAGCCGTGCAAGTTGTTTATTAAGTTGATGGACATTATATTTTGTAGGCCTTTTCCATTGACGTTCTGTTCTCTTTCTCAGCATATAAATATCCCTGTGTAATGTGACTGTCATAGTGTGTTGCACTGCATAGTAACTGCATAGTAAATGCATAGCAACGCTAGAGGTGCTTTTCATAATACGACTTTCATACATTTAGTACCCTGACAATTGTGAAAATAAATGTTTATATTTTTTGCTTTGTACTGTACATATTTATAGTACTCTGATTCACATGTCCTCATTTGCTTATTGCTAATTATTGTTATTCAAAGTTGTTGTTTTTGGAACTTTAGCAGGATATGCATTGGTTTGGCAGGTGATTTATAACAGAGCAATGCTTAAAGAAATCCCCAAATATTATCGCTGGGGTTGCAAACTTTCCCAAAATGCCCAGGTTTTCCAGAAATCCTGAGTGAATTCCCCCCCAACGCCAGGATTCTTCCAACCGGGATTTCTGGAAAACAATATAATTTGTTTTTCTTAGCTCACAGTGGTATAGCAAATATTGTATGTTAATAGACAACCAGGGGCAGTGGATACAGTATGTAAAATAATTGATTACTAGGGGCAGTGGATTAACTATGTAAGATAATTGCTTACTAGGAGCAGTGGATACAGTACCTTAATCAAATTTGTTTTGCTTAAAGACCGGAAATTCAAGAAGGTCTTTGTATCCTTTGTTGCCTTTTAAAGAAGTATACTAACAAGTATTCGCTGTTAGCCACATTTTGATAAAGTAACCTTTTTCCTATCAGCTCTTATAGCCACCTGAATGGTGAAGTCTACTAAAATGTTAGTTTTTTTCAACTAAAATCTATAACTCCTGTACAAGTTATGAATGCTACTTACTTTGCGCTCAATTCATTTTCAAGTAAATGTATCTACTGATGAGTGTAATACAATGGAAATCACTCTCGGGAGAGGCTTCTCTTCCCAAACCATTGCTATGCGCACAATAATTGGTCTAATTATCCGGTTTGATTTTCCAGATTGGACAATGTGACAGCCAAGCCAATGCTGGGGACTTTGGTTGTGCTGTTAGATTAAATTAAATCATACATTAGTGTCCCTTGGTCTATAATGTATCATGTACGAGTCACGACTGAAGCCCTGTTTATACCTGGTTCTAACATGCATCCTTTGTCCTGATCTTGTTCACATTCTGATTGTGCCGGTGTAGATGATTAAAATACGCATTGTGATCGGATTGTGATCAGATCCTTCAGCCCACATCCGGAGGTAGTCAGATACACAGAGGTAGTCAGGCACACAAGTGTAGACAGATGTGGACAGTGCAACCATTTAAATCATCATTATCTCGCACTTTAAAATCTTTGACAGATGGCACCATTGACTTATGTCATCAATATGTGTCTTAAAATAAATAAATAAACATTATTTTGAAAGAATAGCGGTCAAAAATTTGCATACAGGGAGGAACCAGGAAATCTGGTACCAATGCAGGACAGATTAGGTTTTTCAAATTTTTGAGAGCTGATCTGATTTGTCAAAAGACCAATTTGTGAAACAAATTACCTGTGTAAACGTAGCCTTCGAGACATTTTAATACCGCGTTAGACGCATTTCTGAAAATGTGGGCACAGTGTGGACAAGATCAGTACAAAGAACGCATGTTAGCGGCAGTTATAAACAAGGCTTGAGAGAAGAGGTTGTATAATGCCAATATCATAAATTATTCTCCCGAGTGGCGCAGTGGCCTAAGGCACTGCATCGCAGTTCTAGCTGTGCCACTAGAGTTCCTGGTTCAAATCCAGGCTCTGTCGTAGCCGGCCGCAACCAGGAGACCCATGGGGCGGCACACAATTGGCCCAGCGTCGTCCAGGGTAGGGGAGGGAATGGCCGGCAGGGATATAGCTCAGTTGGTAGAGCATGGCGTTTGCAACGCCAGGGTTGTGGGTTCGATTCCCACGGGGGGCCAGTATGAAAAATAAAAAAATTATGTATGCACTCACTAACTGTAAGTCGCTCTGGATAAGAGCGTCTGCTAAATGACTTAAATGTAAATCAATCTCCCTCCCACAAGAGGAATAGTAAACAAGGGAGTCATACTCGGTATCTAAAGAAAGTTTGTTATAGTAAACTAAAACGAATCCTGATTTTTTTTTTAGTAAAATAAAATAGAATAATTAACAAACCCGTTTGAAAAACTAAAACTACACTGAAACTATTATCTTTGACTCCAAAACGGACTGGGTGTTCAACAGGGTTTTCAAGCTTTTGAATCTTGTGGGTAAATGCGTCCAGGAGATGGCGACATTTCAAATAGGCCTAGCTTGTGAATCACTATAGAGAGGAAGAGGCGAAGCGAGAGGCTTGAATCTGCCCCAAATTCTGTCCACGTGAAAATACAGGCAGATGCAGGGGAAGTGGGGATTTGTTGTATGGAGGTGTCAAATTTTGTCAAAACGAAATTTAATTGCTAATTTGCTATGTGAGGCTTATTTGATTGAATAGCCGTAATGTTTACATTGTTACAAATGTACTGTAAGTGGACTCGCGTGGCATTCCGGCAACTTTGAGAAAAACTATTTGTGCAGTGGTGGAAAAAGTACGCAGTAGTCATACTTGAGTAAAAGTAATAGAAAATGACTCAAGTAAAAGTGAAAGTCACTCAGTAAAATACTATTTGAGTAAAAGTCTGAAAGTATTTGGTTTTAAATATACTTAAGTATCAAAAGTAAATGTAATTGCTAAAATATAATTAAGTATCAAAAGTAAAAGTATAAATAATTTCAAATTCCTTATATTAAGCTAACCAGATGGCACCATTTTCTTGTTTTTATTTTATTTACGGATAGCCAGGGGCATACTCCAACACGCAGACATCATTTACAAACGAAGCATTTGTGTTTAGTGAGTCCGCCAGATCAGAGGCAGTAGACATGACCAGGGATGTTCTCTTGATAAGTGTGTGAATTGGACCATTTTCCTGTCCTGCTAAGCATTCGAAATGTAACGAGTACTTTGGGTGTCAGGGAAAATGTATGGAGTAAAAATAACATAATTTTAGGAATGTAGTGAAGTAAAAATAAAAGTTGTCAAAAATATACATTTACATTTTACATTTTAGTCATTTAGCAGACGCTCTTAACCAGAGCGACTTACAGGAGCAATTAGGGTTAAGTGCCTTGCTCAAGGGCACATTAACGTCATTTAGCAGACGCTCTTAGCCAGAGCGACTCACAAATTGGTGCGTTCACCCTATAGCCAGTGGGATAACCACTTTACAATTTGGGGGGGGGGGGGGGGGGTTAGAAGGAATACTTTATCCTATCCCAGGTATTCCTTAAAGAGGTGGGGTTTCAAATGTCTCCGGAAGGTGGTGAGTGACTCCGCTGTCCTGGCGTCGTGAGGGAGCTTGTTCCACCATTGGGGTGCCAGAGCAGCGAACAGTTTTGACTGGGCTGAGCGGGAGCTATGCTTCCGCAGAGGAAGGGGAGCCAGCAGGCCAGAGGTGGATGAACGCAATGTCCTCGTTTGGGTGTAGGGACTGATCAGAGCCTGAAGGTACAGAGGTGCCGTTCCCCTCACTGCTCCATAGGCAAGCACCATGGTCTTGTAGCGGATGCGAGCTTCAACTGAAAGCCAGTGGAGTGTGCGGAGGAGGGGGGTGACGTGAGAGAACTTGGGAAGGTTGAACACCAGACGGGCTGCGGCATTCTGGATGAGTTGTAGGGGTTTAATGGCACAGGCAGGGAGCCCAGCCAACAGCGAGTTGCAGTAGTCCAGACGGGACTACTGCATATAAATAGTTAAGTAAAGTACAGATACCCCAAAAAATTACTTCAGCATTACTTTAAATTATTTTTACTTAAGTACTTTACACCACTGTATTTGTGCCTCTATTTTCATGTCATCCAACAGATCTAAATGCCTGCATTTTGCTGAATGGCATTGGCACTTGGATTGGAACCTATGGTCAGATGACATGAAAATAGAGCTCTTTGGCCACGCACACCAGTGGTGGGTTTGGCGTCGAAATGAGAATGCATGAGCAGAAAATAACCCCATACTGTAAAATATGGTGGTGGAGCTTTGATGTTATGGGGCTATTTTGCTTCCACTGGTCCTGGGGCCCTTGTTAAGGTTAACGGCATCATGAACTTTACCCAGTAGTCAAAAACCTGGTTGCCTCTGCCAGGATGCTGAAACCTTGGCCACAAGTGGATCTTCCAGCAAGACAATAACACCAAGCACACATCAAAATCCACAAAGAAGCAGTCCATAAGCACAGATGAAGGATATCAAGGATCTGGAAGGATTCTGTATGGAGGAATGGTCTGAGATCCCTCCCGATGTGTTCTCCAACTCATAAAATA